ATGTTTTCCTTTCCAAAATTATTTTTGGCGTTATCTCCCAACTTCATCGAATTCCAAAAACATTGCAAAACGCGTTAAAAATCTTCTGAATTCCAGAGATATCTAAGGATATGCCCTCAGGCTGTTTCTAGTTTTGGCACGCGGCCAAACAAACTTAAATGGCCGACTTCTAACGAGATGAAAATAGAGAAACGTCATCGAAACAGACTTTCAAAAACTATTTTTTTTTTGAATTTTTATCAAAAGTATTAAAAACTATATTTAATTATTATAATTTTCAGGTTTTAAGCCTTAAGTTTTAAATTAAAAAAGATTGTAAACAAAAATAAATCTAAAAGTTAAAAATAGACAAAAAGTGGTCAATCAAAAGAACTCTTATCAGTGCAAATTGGCGACGAAAATGTGAGGAATTTGCATTAAAAAGCAATCAATTCTCGAAAGTTCAAATAAATTGTTTGAAAAAGAAAATTGCGCGGCCCAGCACTTTTCGAAGCGAAAAGAAAGGTTTGGAAGTATGGGAATGCAGAAGTGACCGTTACTCCCCTCGTACTCTTCCCTACACCCCCATACTCAACCCCATATAATCATACTCAGCATCAAATTAAAAATCGTACTCGAATTCGAAGAAATTTCGAATGACGATTTTTTAATATAAATTGGCGAGCACTGACCCCCCAAAACGAATATATTATACTAGCGGGCCTCGGCGGCGAGTATTGGGTGTGAGGGGAGAGGGTTCGAGATTGGGGAGAGGGTTCGAGACTGGGGAGAGGGTCGAGACCGGCTCTCTTTCCCACCCCTGCCCACTCCGCCGGCCTCTGCGCACTCTCGTCCCCCCACCGCGACGCACTACCCCACCGCCCCGAGCCTCCTCCTCGCATTTTGACACGTTCGAAGAGACCGGTCGAGGAGAATCGGCGGTGCGCGAAAGGGGCTCATCCCTCATCAATAGGTACAGAAAGTTGGGTTTCGAGCATTTCGGACGAAGGAAAATGCCTTCACTTTGCTAAACCTTTGTAACTTGGTTAGTTTATATTGTTGTAGGTGATGGCACGGCATAAAACGATACGGTATGATATGGTGAAGATAAATTTTCGGCTAGCGTGATCAAAAGAAATAAATGAATGAAAAATTGACATGATAACCAACTTTGGTAGATGAAAAATAATTCTACACACTTTTTGACCTATTTGTAGAACATTTACATTAAAGGTAACACTATATAAGACAGCCAAAACAACAAAAAATAACACAAAGTTGCCATTTTAACCCATACCCTCATCCCACACACTTTTTGACCTTAAAGTCAATAGAAATAACCAAAACATGGCCTAACCAGATGGTAGTATAAACATGACGGTGTATAATATAAGCATGGTGGAAAACACGATGTGAGTATCGACCGGAAAGCCCTACAATGCAATGTGAAAAACATAATATGCTTTTAGATTGTAATGAATTCTTAATTATTTTCTGGTGTCTTCATAATATCTCCAAAATTATACTAAAGCCACTATATAAGGGCGATGGAAAGTGCACACACGCTTCCATTATAACACATCATATCATCATCATGACAATACAAAAGCCTACGCAAAATGGTTTTTGAATCGCAATCTATTTTAAACATCAATTTAGAGCTGTTTAAGTGGGTAGAGGTGGAAATGTTACAATTTTTATTCAAATTTAATTTTAAATTTTGGTTTTTAATTAGTGTGCAAGTCTCTATTAAAACCCCTAGTACAATATTCTTCAAAAAATTTAAAAAATATATAACTCTCATTTCAAAAAACGTTGCAAAAACTAATCCAACTTCGACTATCAACGAGTTTGGGCCTCAAATTGCGAAAAAACGCGTCTGCACATCGCCCCCACCCCCCCCCTCGCCGAAGTTTGGTCATCCGCAAAAAATAAACAAAACAAGGGCCGAGGTCATCAGAAGGCCCCAAACTTTAGATAATGAATTCCTGCCCCATCTGTCACGTTGCGATGCCGTCCCGGATGTTGCCGAATGGAAACCAAGCCCCAGATGGGCGATGAAGAATGTAGGACGGCCAGTCACGGTGCGAAGCCATCCAGCTGCGATGCGAAAAAAAAATGGCTGAACAAAAAAATCGCCATAAAAAAGACGGTCGGAAAGTGAAAAAACGACTGAACGGCGAAGAAGATCAGAGGGAACGGCTAAGCGACAGAAATTACAAAAAATGTTGTAGTAGGCTTCGGAGAGAATGAAGCAGATCGAAGAAGCGATAACATAAAAAAGGATTTCAAAGTTAAAAAATCAAATAAAAATTCCAAATTCAAATCAACTTTGACCAACAAACTACAAAACAGTGAGAAGTCTAGCCACGCCGAGGTCAGGAGCCCTTGAAGCCGCTCCATGGGAATTATGAGAAGGAGAAGATTGCGATGACTCACTCACTCCAAACCCCCCGTTCAAACACCGTCTTTTGTTAATTAAGCGAATCAAGAGGCGTTTTATGTCGTGCAATGGCCACAATTTATATTACCAGACATTTCAGTCGGTTTTAATTCATTTCCAATCAAAAACCGCCCAGAAATCGTACAATTTGTTTTCGAAGGGAGGGGTTTTCGAAAGTTTGGGGGCCAAAAACAACAAAAAACCTAGGTTTTTGAAACGGTTAGAGTTTGGAGAAGGTAGTCTAAACAAAGAATGTTCCTTTAAGTTGTTTACTGTAAGAAATTTGAACAAAAATATTTAAGGAAACGCAAAATTTTTTAAAATAGTAGCCATTAAACATAAAAAAGAGTTAAAAATAGGCCATAAAAAATGTTTACAAATGTAAAATCTGGCTTAAAACAAAAACCTACTGTTTATACCTAAAAGTTATCTAAACAACAAGTGACCTAATTCACAAAAAACAACCCCATTTTAATATATTTTTATGCCAAAACCAAACTCCAAAAATTCCAAAACCTTAACCCACAAACCGCCGTTCCTTTGCGCGGCCTAATAACCCACGCAGTTCGCCCTAAGGCATTTCTCGAACTGCGAAAGACAGCTAAATGGTTAACCCCACCCAAAAGGTTAAGTAGGTCAGAGACTAGCCGAAAACAACCAGTTTGCGCACCCTTTTTCCAGCGAGAAATGTGTGACAAGAAGAAGAATATAATGCCGCGGGGATTAACAGGAAGAGGATGCTAGGTCAACAGCTGTGCTGACCACAACAACAACCATCATCGTCCAGACAGTCAACAAGCGAGTGGACGTTGAGAGAAAGAACAAACAATTTTAAAATGCAAAGTAGGCAATAATTTGTTATATCTACTATATATTGATGAGAATTTCGTATAATTTATTTAGGTAAGTAAACTTTATACCCTTATAACATACCTAAAGGTAGTGAGAAATGAGGTCTGTTTTGCTCTTAAAGTAATATAAAATTTGAAAAATCAAGCAAGATTTGAATCCTTCTTATTAAATTCAAAAAACCCCCCGAAAGCCATATTACAGTAAAACGCCCTTTAGTCATCCTCTTCTCCAAAGTGTGAAACAAATGATAAATGTTAAAAATAAAGGAATTGTTTTGAGAAATGACTAACACAAATTTCTGAAGGCAAAGTTCAATCCAAACAGATTCTCCCCAAATGACAATCGTTGGAAAGCCGGCTCCAAAAAACGCGCTGACTAACGTCAAAACATCAGATGGATCGGAGGCTTTTGTGCACAAACATTTGTCGACGGCTATTAAGGAAGAGTTGAAGAGCTTGAATCCGATTCCGTGGAGACACCCTCCCTGCATTCAAAACCCCCCTTCTCGAACTTCTTGCACTCTTTTTTTATTAAAGCGACGTCGCCTCAAAGTCGCCCAAGGCCGCCGGTGCCGGTCAGAGCCGCGATGTGATCGCGCAGTCACTTCTCTTCCGCGCAACCGTTTTTTACCAACTTTTTCAGGCCTTCACGGGGGACCGGTCGAGCGGGGCTTCGGACAAGTAATAAACCATCCCCGCACTGATAACATCTAATGTTTATTCGCGCACCGTCTTAAAACAATACCCGTGGCGTTTCGCAGAATAACCCTTGTTGTTTTTAGTGAATACCCTGACGATTCTGATAGATTCGCTTATGGTACCACTAAATCTTCTTACGATTCAGCTAAATTCCATTATGGTACTACTAAATGCCGTTGCGGTATCATTAAATATGCTTTCGGTACACTGAATGCCCTCATTAGTAAAGACTCCCTTATCTTTCCACTAAATACCCTTGCCATTTTATCGAATACCCTTAAAATTCCGCTGAATAACCTCAAAGTTTATGCTTAGAAATACTGCCCACCGCCCGTAAAGATTATTTTTCGTAAAAAAACCCAAAGAAAATTCGGAGAAATTATTGCACGACGATTTTTTTTATATCGCGCCCCAAGGCGCAATACACTTTGCGAGGTAAAACGGACCGTCTGGAAAGGAACCTGACCGACCCACGAAGACAGGGGCGATCGACCATGCTGACGAAATCGAAAACGCTACCGACCGCATCGTCCGACTTTGAATCTCCCTGCTCGCGCACAACTCTGTAGACGACCGCCGTACCTTCTACAAAACCGCGTCAAAAACAGCGATGGAGCCGTTGTTTTTTGTGCATCCAGAAGCAGCCGCCTCCTTTCCCCTTCGTCTCTCTAATTCTACCTGTTCGCGCGATCGCCGCAGGCAAAACAAAAGAAAGTCGAACACCTCGAGAGTGTTGAGTGAACTGCTTCAAGGCGGTGAGCAATGTTCACCGATTTAAATTCAAGAATGTAATGGGAGCAAATATTATAGATGGGAAAGATACGATGGAAATCCACTTTGCTTCGAACATAAGCGTTCTATACCTATAACTTATCAATCCAAATCGCCAAATTTTAAAAGTTGATATCAAACTTCGAAATACTAGCTAGAGATTAAAACCCTTCTACACAGTTTAAAAACCCACCTTCAAGATACTTTACTTCCTCAATAAACTGCAAAAAACAATGTTGTTATAGGTTTATTAACAATCAGTCTTCGTCTCCCACTTGATCCTCCTCATCCTCGACGTCATCGTCGTCGCTGTTGGTATCCCCATCGTCAACAACCCGAGAATCATTTTTTAGGAACACAGTTTCCGCTACGGATTCCTCGACGTCATCATCTTCATCTTGAGCCAATCCCAATTCAAGTTTGCGCCGCTGACGTTCACTGATTCGTCGCTCCTCCAGTTCTTGTTGTGATAGGCCTTCGTCGGGCAGGAGTTTGTCGTAGTAGGTTTGGTTGGTGACATCTCTGACCTTGTTGAAGCCGCCGGTACGAGCTTGTGATTGTAGGGTTAGCTGGAAATAATTTTAAGTTTTTAGCCAAACAAGTTGGGAGCGCAAATGAGTCAACTCAAACAGATCGAGTAGGTATTGCATTGTAGTTCGGGTTACGGACAACAAAATACAAATAATTACGCAGAGATCAGGTATGAATAAGTTATAGCTTAGGTATGAAACAAAAGTCATTGTTTAGGTATGAGACAGAAGGTATAATAAAAAAGAGGGGTTTTATACTATAAAAAATGTTAAGGTTACCTGTCCTCCGAGCCAAGCCATGTAGCGATTAGAGTTTAACTGATCTTGTTCTGTCCGGTTTAAACCTACAATCTCTGTCACAATTTGACGGTTGTGATGAAGTCCTCCAGCCATTTTCTAAAACAATACATTAATTTCAAAATAATTTCAATAAAAGTATAAAGCTTGTTTAAAAAAGATTACCTAAAGTAATAAAAACCATAAACCTATCAGTCAAACTCATAGTAAAACAAAAATCTATATAAACTATAGTACAAACTCAAAAAATCTTACTTCCCCGTTGTTCTCCTTGGCATCCTTCACAGCTTGAACATTATCCATACACTGAAACCGTGGTACTGCTGCCAGACATTTGACCATGTCCTTGTACCCCATTTGTAACCCTCCAACCGGCCTGCTGATATTCTCCCTCAACTTTCCTATAGAATCATTTTTGGCATTCGGATTAGATTTAGCAAGCAATGGCATCGACCGTTCTGTCGCTTTCCAATCATACAAAATGTCTCGAGGCACTTTCTTTTCTTCATCGTTCTGAATTAGAAATTCATACAAGTCAAATGTTACGTCAAATTATTAAAATACGACTTTATCTTTATTAAAAATAGGCTTCTTATGCAAAAAACCAAATGTCTTTAAAAAATTTGTAAATTGTCGTTTTTTACAATAAAATTTTAAATATTTTTGTAAGAAAGCAAGGTAAAATAGATACGTACATGTTCTTTCACCCATAGTACTTGTTCTCTGAACGCTCCAAACCGTGCTTGTCCAGCTTGACTTGCATAAGTCTTCTTTAACGGTGGACACAAATGGAACGGCACGTTACCATTATGACTGTTAGTTAGCTCTCGTGTACATACTATTTCTGGCACTGAAAATAATAATCTTGTTACTGGTCAATTTTAAAAAGCAAAAAAACATGTTAAGGCCATTGAGAGCCAATTTTATATATAAAAAGTATCTTTTAGAACTGATCTTCAGTAAAATATGACCACAGAATGATGTGAACAACCTAATAATCGAGATTTTTTAGGTAACACAATATAATTTACAAACCCTTACCATTCTTTCTAATAGTACCAAACCCTCCATTGCCTTTCTGAGAAGCGTACTTGTTCGACCCGTACTCCCATGGTATCACATTTGGCAGTACAATGTCTCGTCCTTTGGATTGTCGCTCCTCCAACTGCTTTATTACCTAAAACAACCACCTTAATCGATGTGTAAGCTTACGTTATTTTGAGGCATAGCAGACTTTTGACTCGGCGGAGACCCGTTTTAAGCTTTTCGAGAATCCGGAGATCTCAAAACAAACAAAACAAGAACACTTTAACAAAAGACAGCAAGGAATGCGTGGTATTTTTATCGTACTGTTTTCAGTTTACATTAAGGTTCTCAATGAACACATTGAGTTCAAAAAGGATAAAAAATTAAAAATCTTCAAAGATTAGGTTTATTCTTCAAATTGATAACATGTTAAACATAAGAAATATCATTCCTCATACCTAAAGGCTCAATTGATACCTAAAAATGCCAAAACAATTCTCATTACACTATGACATAATATAGTACCTTTTGTAATGTACAAAAACCCTCAATGTTAAAAACAGTGTAAACAAAGTCTTTGTAATATCCAATAATTTGAAATTCAAAAAGAAACAAATTCACGTGGTTTGGGCTTCTTATCTTATCGTTCGATCACAATATACGTTCTTTGAAGCCTTTCCATCCAAAATAAGTTAATTTACTAACGAATTACTGACACTGTAAAAGCACAAAGTACGCTGATTGAGGTAGCTCAATTATAATTTGACCTTGTTAACCTTTTATAAATTTAGATTTCAAAAAACAGTAAAATGTTAGACAGACTAAAGCATTTTATTTTAAAGCTTAATACAAGTTGTTTAATTAAAAAAAAAACAGATGTTTTTGCTATTTTTTTTACTAAAATCGTATTTCGAAATTCTTAAATTTAAATTTTTCAAATAATATCTTCCCGCTCTCGTATAATTTGGCCAAGAAGAAAGATTTGCAGCTCGCGCCCATTTATTTTTTCTTATTTTTTGTAAAATTTTACAAAATTTTACGAATTTCTCGACATTTTTGTAATACCTACAAAAGAATACGTTGTATACGTCCTTCTTGTTCGTGATTAACTCATTCTGTCAAACTTATATTGCACTTTCGGCATTTGTTGTCTTATTTATTGGGAAAAAGCACATGGAACGGAGAGGACTTTTTTCGAAAACAACGTTCGAATCGGTCTTGAAGTGCTGAGGGGATTGGGAACGCAAAAAGGTCACGTAGTCTCTTCTTTGGCTAGGTTTATTCAATGTTTAAATAAATCTTTTCATACCTTTCAACTTTAGGTATGAAAAGAGTGTGAAACGATGTTATCTTAAGTTCCTGGCTTTTAATAGTTGTGGAAACGACCTTGAACTTACACTCGGAACGTGTTTGGGTGATTGCGGGCGCATGTTATCAGCTAATTTTGGTTTCAAATGATGTTTATATTTGATAATATTTCCATGGGTTGGTCAGCCACGTTTTTGACATTAATTTAGTTTATTTTGAGCTGTTGAAAGTTGTTTAACGTAACGTGAACTCGTGTTTACAACGTAATATATACATATACGTACTTTGGGTGATATATAACGTGTTTTCGAGGTATATTTTTTATCATTACTAGTATATATTGTCTAAATTAAGGCGGCCATGTTATTTTTCAACGGAATTCCAGTAGCTGAGCCAATTGAGGTGTTCCACAAGAACAAGCTCTACCTTCAAGAGCAAGATCCATTGAAGGTCAATTTAACTATTGGAGGTAACTTACTTTTTTAATTTTTTTTTGTTTTAGCGTTTAATTTCAATCTATGTTAACAAAATGTGGTGAACATGACTTACTTCTGTAATTTAGCCTACCGTACCGAGGAAAACAAGCCATGGGTTTTGCCAGTAGTCCAACAAGCTGAACGAGATCTTGCTTTGGACGAAAAACTCAACCATGAGTACCTCCCAGTTCTTGGTCTTCCAGAATTCACCGACGCTGCTGTAAAGCTTGTTTTAGGCGATGACAGTCCAGCTGTAAAGGATGGCAGAGCTTTTGGAGTTCAATGTTTGTCTGGTACTGGATCGTTGAGAGCTGGAGCTGAGTTTTTGAAGAGATTGTTAAACCTGGATGCCGTTTTGGTCTCTCAACCAACTTGGGGTAACCACAAGTTGATCTTCCACAACGCTGGATTCACATCTGTCAAGGCCTATAGATATTGGGATGCGGGCAACAAGAAGATCGACATTGATGGATTCTTGGCTGATTTGCAAGCTGCTCCAGAAAAGTGAGTTCAATAGTAGTTAAAAGGTCAAAAACGTGTTTGAACTTTGCCTACTTTTATTTGTATGCAGTTAATTAGCTTGTTAGAACGTTTTACTATGTTATTTTAAGCGTTTCAAAAAAAAGATAACTTGTTTTTTTTAATTATAAATATAAAAAGAAGTTTTTTTGTAACATGTAATTCTTAAAATTCACTGTAAATGCAATGTTTCAGAGCAGTAGTCGTACTTCATGGCTGCGCCCACAACCCAACTGGTATGGACCCAAGCCAAGACGAGTGGAAGAAGATCTGCGAAGTTGTGAAGCAAAAGAACCTGTTTACCTTTTTTGACATTGCCTACCAAGGATTTGCGTCTGGAGACCCCGACAAAGACGCATGGGCCATCCGCTACTTTGTTGAACAAGGTTTGGAGATGGTTGTTGCTCAATCTTTTGCCAAGAACTTTGGTTTATACAACGAAAGAGTTGGCAATTTGGCTATCGTCGTCAACGACAAGAGTACCATTGAAGGCATCAAGAGTCAGATTCAACTAGTCATCAGAGCCAACTGGTCCAACCCACCAGCTCATGGCGCTCGAATTGTAGCCATGGTGCTGAATGACCCCACTAGAAGACAACAGTGGTACGATGCTATCAAGACGATGAGCTCAAGAATCCAACAAATGAGAGAAGCCTTGTTGAAGCTGTTGACTGAGCAAGGAACTCCAGGCAAATGGGATCACATTGTAAAACAAATTGGAATGTTCAGTTACACTGGATTGACAAGTAAGTTCTTGTTCATATTGTCGTAGATAATGTTTTGCCGTTGCTTTTCTTTTTTTTTGTTAGCTTGATCTTTCTACGGAATTTTGGTTAACGTTTTGATCTTAATAGTCCCGTATATATGTTGTAGTATATTAACTTATGGGAACGTTAGGTATCATTTAAGATTAAGAAATAGGAAGTTATTTTAAATGCAAAAGTACGTCAGTTAATCTTCTGAATCATCAATGAATAGCGACCGTATGCCAATGTTGAAGGAAATGAAACGTGCTTCTTAACACGCGACGTTGTCATTTACGTACCAAAAAAAAGTTTAAGAAGTCGGATTATCATTACCTACTGATCTCTGACTACGAAACTAATAAAAGTGCAACCGTACAAAGAAATGAGCATTTCTAAAGATTTTAAAATATATTCTCATCTGATATTCCAAGATGGGTTGCAAGATAGGGTTTATTAGAAGTTCAAGACTTTTATGATAGTTTTAATTATTTTTCAACATATTTTTTTTTCAGAAGAACAAGTGGATCGCCTCATCAATGTCCACAAAGTCTTCCTTCTCAACGATGGCAGAATCAACATTTGTGGATTGAACACCAAGAACGTGGAGAAGGTCGCCAAGGCCATCGATGAGACCGTCCGCAACATCCCCAGCCGCCTTTAAGCTGTAACATAGATGGTATTGTGATAATCAGGTTAGAAGATAATAAATCGTACTGTAAATTTTTTACAGTGTGTCATTAAAACGTTGGGATAATACTGTACTTTTTAATTGTTTTACAAGTTTTAAAACATTTTTAAATTAGAAGAAAAGATTACATGCGAGTTGATTTTAATGTTTTCATTTTCAGTAATCACGACTAGTACAAGCTTGAGAGATATAAAATAATAATGATAGTAGCTACGAAATGCATGATATAATTCATAAAGCTGAGATTTTTATGGCATCTGCGTTTTCTGTGAGTCTGTCAATGGTTTTCCGATGATATCCGTGAGGGTTAGTAAGGCATTTGTTGTGGTTATTACGTTGAATGTTAAAGGTGAGCGTAGAGTAGTAGAAATGTAGTAAATGTGTAAGATGATATAATCCATTGTGTAGGTCTAACTGGGTTGAAAATTGAATAGTGCTGTAAAAATACGGTAGATAATAAAACGGCTGACTAGATAGTGAGTTAGCTGAATGTAAGTTCTTCGTATTTCTGTATGAACTTGTTGAGTAGGTCGACTTCATCCTTCTTGATTTCATAAACATAACGATCGAACCGACTGCCATCACCGGGTTCTTTGAGTTCACCATACGTGGCTTTGTAGAGTTGAAGTCTTTGAACGAGGAATTTCCTGGCTTTTTCTTTTGTTTCCCTTTCATCTACCTTCTGAAGCTCGTCGATGACAAACACTTTGCAAAAGGTGAAGATGGGTAATCTGGAGTAATCAATTGGCTCTCTATATTCAAGTTGGGAACGACGCAACTTGAAATGATATACACCGCGTTCTGGCAACATGTTCATAGATTGCAAGTAGCTACACTTCTCCTCGACGAATTTGTTGATTGGGAATCCTGAAAAAAATGTATATGATAACAGACAGCATGCACAATACAATTATTAAGTAATCAAAATTTCATTGTAAAGTAATTAAAAATATCAACTATCAGACAACAATTAAAAAGCAAAAACCTACCCGTCTTTAACTCGTAGTAATTGTGAGGATTATGTGTCGAAGGTACAAGTCCATTGTGAAGTAGGAATTCAGAGTTGGAGCGGTGACCATAATATAAGGTTAGCTCTTCGCCCGCTTTGATGTCTCTATTAGCCCTCAGTTGCACTGTACGGGTATCAAAATCGTAATACTGGGACACATTGTTCTCATCTTCTTGCATAAAATTACAGAAGTCGATGAGTGGAACCAGGGTTGGTAACTAAAAGTATTCGTTAAATAAGAATTTTTATTTTAATGCAAAAGTACGTATATTTTATAAATGGCCATCAGTCTTTTCGACCAATCAGTAAAATAATCAAAAGTACTATGTTTGAACTTTCATAACCAGTAACTCATAAAAATGAAACTAGTATCACATGCGACCGTCCAAAAGCTTAACTTACAGGACGTTGATTCTGTAACGTGCCTTGCCTTCTAGGCACACCGTTCATTCTTGTCGAACTGTTTGACACGCACCATTTGTAAAAGTTGAAAGTAAACTTTTCAGAGTTCAGTGCACAGTTTTTGAATACAAACTTGCTTTTCTAAATTAAAAAATATAAACTAAAACATCTTAAAAATAAAAATTTGAAAATTGTGTGCAACATACCTCATCAAAAACAGAATCTCGTACTATCCGCAGGAGGAAGTACACATAATGTCGTGCCACCGATCGATACATCAAAAGTGCGGCTTCAAACGTGGGTGACGGCTTCAGTTGTAATAGCTGATCAGTTGTCATAAAAATTAGAGTATCGTGAACCGACGGTAGTGCTCTGGCATATGGTAAGAACCTTTTGTCTTTTGATAACAATACTTCGGCCAAAATAATAGCTACGGTAACGTTGGGCATGCTCTTCAAAATGTCATCGTTTTTGTGCATTTTTCTGAAATAAGATAATTTATATTATGTTTGTGAAATATGTGAATTCAGTTAATTTTTTAGAAAGATATAACATTGATCAACATAATTAGTGTATTATAGTGTCTGAAAATGTAAATTTCTTACCGTATGACTGTCTTTTCTTCTCCATACTCTAAGGATATTGTAGCCTTCCGTGGCACTTTCACGGCTGGTTCATGTAAGGCGATGTCCTTTGTGGCAAACAAGCCATACCCGAATTCTGCTTCCTTCACCTCTACATTAGAGTGTTCTACTTCATATTCATCAAGCCATTTTGGAAGGTTTTTGATGGCCTCCGATCGTTCTAAACTCATCATTTTAATTTTATGTAAAAAACTGTTAAGTTGATAAGTCTAAAATTGTTACCTAAAATCAGCTTATCTCCAGTTTTTTGCACCCACGCCTTGATCTTACTATACTTACAATGCCATAGTGTTCTGCCACTTTTTGCTGTTAACTAAACTTAAAAAATCAAAGAAAAGCTTACCTGGAATCCCAAGATGCTCATGTGCATCAAAGATCTGTCCAGTATTGTCCCCTAAAGCTTCCACAATGTCCTTATGATCTTTGTAGAGATCGTTTACATTGGTTGGTGGTAGATTCTCCAGTACTTCCGTCCATATCTTAACATAGCGGTCAATTTCTGCTTCCGTCAGTTCGAGGGTCATTTTTCAGAGAATGAAAGCGGGGGTTGGGCCGCTTTTCACTCGAAAAACGTTCCCGATCACTCCAACTCCTCCTGGAATTAAATTTTCTGTGAGAAATATAAAGTTGCGGGCGCAGCTAGCTGAAAAAATGATTTTTTATTTACTATTTTACGTCAACAAGAAGATGTGAAACTTGAATAATTTAAGATTGTTAAAAATGTATATTAATTTTACAAACGTGTAAGTTATTTTTATAATAATTTTAAAGAAGAGTCGGACGCAGTTTGCGGAAGGGGGAATGCTTTATATTAATGTAGGTGTTGGAAGCGCTGTTTTTCGCGTTTTTATTGTATAAGAAGACTTGTTTTTTTCTTTATTGTTTTACACTTTTTATATACGATTGTATATCTTTATTTACATTATATTTTCACCAAAATATTTTTTTATTTAAGATCTCGTTATTATAATTTATGGTTTGTTTGATGAGTCTTTGTGAGCCGTACTCTATTAATATAAATAGTGCCAGACAAATCTATGTAACACACAACGTACTCACAAGTGCACGCTTCAAAGTGCAAACTTAGTGTTTACTGTTTTCGATGTCTGCCAATGTGGTATACCTGACGAGTATTTGGATTGCACTTTTAGTGAAGAGTTCCGGTTATAATGCCCTTTAGGCGTCAGAGCAATGTACTTTTAGGATAAATCGGTGTAATTTTTGTTTCAATGTTTAAACTATCCGACCTGTTTTTTAAACTTGCTAAAATTACAGTGCCAATATTACTAGATGTCGACATTTCAATGCGTGTACTATTTCAATGAAATTTAAACAATTTAAAAGGATATGTGTACTTTTAGGGCCCTCAGTGTTACTATAGTGACGTAGGACTACAAAAGATGCGTTTGTTGTACACAATATTGTTAATGGTAAGCAGTTATGAGTCGAGACATTTGCGTTTAGGTTCCATTAGTCACTTCGCAGCTGTACGAAGAAGATACAGAGATGTCGGCAGAAGAGTGTAAAGAAGTGGGCTTCAATAAGGCTACTCTAAAATGCCCAACATGCAAGTTGCTACCACAATATAACCTGGACTTGATTGTCAGTGACTGTGAAAAGTGTTGTATAAAAGAAAGCGAAAAGTCTCATGAAGTAGGTTGAATAACTGTCTTAAAGGGATTAAAATGGATATAAGGAGTATACCTGACAATGAAAATCGTTTTAGAAGTACCCATCAGCTCAGATTGAAGTTTGCGAATGTAACTTACAACGATTTCCACAAGTAAATGGTATGTTTAAAAAGCAAAAACATTATCTTTGAAATATTTATGAAGACACTGCTTAGAACGTTCTTTTTCTATTGACAATTAAAGCGCAGTAATACCTTTAGAATTACTAAAACAATGCTACGTAGTCGGGTTGTTTTCAAATTGCGTATTTTATTCTATGTAAATGTATTTAATATTTTGACTAAAAAGTACGTTACATTAATAATTCACTCTATACTAATAATTTCTAGAAATTTTTACGTTAATGCAGTCGCATTACGTTCTAATTCTTAAATATTAATTTGAATAAAACTTGCAGCTTTTGTTAAAACTGAGCTGAGTCAACAATGGGGTAACAAACTTCGTATCAGACATGTTCGCGGAACACTGCCGACCATCGTGCTGAAAGACGGGGCAGGAAAACCTCAGAAAACGTTGAATATCGAGAAATGGGACACGGATACTATAACAGATTTCCTAAACGACTGGTTGGAATAGTTTCCAACTTAGTTTTTGACGTTTTTGTTGTTAATTACTTATTTATTAATTTAATAAATTTTACAATAGTAAGAGGAAGCCTATAAATTTTCATGGGTTTTTGAACTACTTTTTAGAATTTTTACTGATTTCTGGTTTTATATACATGGTGAAAAGTGTGTTAGAAAACACTTTGCTTGTACGGTCAATTTACTACACTTTAGAGTCAATCTCTTCGAAGTGTCATATAGGGATTAAAATTTGGTATATACATTACAAGATCATAAAATTAATTACTTTACTTTATTTGGCACATTTACAATTAAACAAAAAAAAACAATAAAATACATGAGGCAGCAGAAGAAGATGATATACAATGATAAAAATAAATTATGATACTTTTTTTTAAGTAAGATATTATGACAATTAAAATATAATTTTTAAAAGTTTAAAAATAGACTCGATTTTTAAGTGTCCTATATATTTCATTTGTACATGAAACAATGTGAGTATCTATAGACGTCAATCACTACCGTTTGCTTTACGGTAACGTAGGCAGATAGCGTTCTTGAAGACAAAGTGGCAGCAAATGTTGGTCTATCGACAAAGATAATTCTTATATATTACCCGTGTCAGCAATAAGCAAGCTTGTTTTGAACCTAATATTTTTGCGTAGTTTCGGTTGAAAATGACACAGCTTCAATTCTCTTCGGCTTCAGCTTCTTCAAGAACGAACTTTTCTGAAAAGGTTAATTGTAATTTTTATAAATTTAAAAAGGTGATATTTAAAACTATCGCTTGTTATTATAAAGTCATTTAGAAAAACTTACTTTTGTTCTTTTCTTCGGCACTCTTCTTGAGCAACAACATTACGCTTGCCAATTCGTCTTGATACTTTGGTTTGTGATGACGAACTTTATGGTAGCATTTCTCTAGGCATCCGCGAGTGGTGCAACAAAAGTCTTCCACTTCTTCACGTCTACATCCTTTCGAACAGCATTCGATTGAAATTTTAGCAGCCGTGGCCGTAAAGTCGTCTTGGGAAACTAAAAAAATATGCGTGAATTTTTAAGTAAAAAGTAAAAAAAAATAATAGATAATACTCAAATTACATTTGAAAATATTAAAATTATTTCTCAAAAAAACCTACTCGACTTGGCATTGCGGAAGCAGGGGTGTTTAGTTGTGGGGTACTTGCAGACGTAGTTGATCCGCTTCATCCATTTGTTGAAACAACTGGGAGCACTAGTGATCAAATGAGCATCGACGACAATCATCGAAAAGCCTATGGCGATAGCGAAAAGTGAAAAAGAAATTCCAAAATTCATAATTTGATTGGAGCAAATTAGCAAAGAAGGCAACGCAGTGACCACCGTGCTAATATATAGGTCTCGGTTAGCTCCGCCTCTTTTTCAAGTTATACAAGGTTGTTATTTACATTTAATTGAAACCGTATTAAGACTGTGTGGAAAAGACAGTATACGCAAGGGAGGAGTTACATTTTCTAAACGTTCTTTTGGCTCCGCCTCAAATTACTGGTGCAAAAATGTTTAAAAGTGCATTCCATAAAAAATAGGATAGATTAGCAAAAATAACAGACATAGGATGAATACACGTTTCTCCAGATTTTACATCCGCCTCCAAAACTGTCTTAAGTTTCAGGCACAAACGTAGGCTTTTGTATGGAATTTGCTGTACGCCTTTTAACGACAGGATTTAAATTATAATAATTACTGAATAATCCGATTAGCTAGAAACAAGTGAGATCCTTGCAAAGTTGAGCCTTCATTATAATATAATCACAAGGCGTTTAACGTTAATATAAAGCGTTAACTTGATCAGCTGAAAAAATTAAAATAAAAAATAGCTTTTCTTAAAGTACTCTCATGCATTTTACACTATGAAAGTTGATTCGAACGTAACAATTGAAAAGTTAATCTTTTTTAACTGAAGATTTATGAAACAGTTAAAGCCATAGAGAACTACGATTGTCTTACGACACTGTAAACGTATATGTTAATCTGGATCTATGGCTGTTTTCCTATATATTTATACAATGCAGAATGGCAAAATATTTTTAAACTTCAAGCTTTGGTCGTTTCTAAAAACCGTAATTGATATTAAAGTTACGTATGTTGTAATTTATATAATGCTTTCTTCTAAAAACCTTGGGTTTCAAACGATAAATACTACGATTTACGTCGATATTGGTATTGTAAAAGTTACTTCAGACAATTGCAAAAGCATTGTGAACTTGTATCAGATAATTTCATTCTTTGGCCTTCATTTATTCCATCTTATTATCGGATTACGTTTTGCAACATTTGAGAAGAAATTCTTATTCTAAAAGTAATCGGTTCTACCCCCTTGTCCAAGCTTGTTTTTATGATGATATTAATTAAGATTATTGCTAATTTTGATTTTGCTTTTCTATTCTCAATGTACGTACGTGGTCATTAGTAATTTTTCGTAGTGAAAGTGTAAAAAAGTAACTTTATTGCCTAAATTATTTATACACATTATTAACGTAGCCCATTTCGTATGTCAGCGTTATTGTACTTCTAAAGACTATCTTGACGCTGACAAAAACATGTACTTTAGTTACTTGTTTGTTGCATTGAATTGTATCGTAGGCGACTATAGTGCATATTACGCTGTAACCGTCACATAAACAACAACACTAGATCATTATAAAAGATCATTAGTTTGTAATGACAGTACTTTCGAGGGTTGTTGAAAGTACCATATGCCCTTTAAAGTTGTCTAATTTTTCTGGTAAACTTAATTTTCGCGCTACAATACACAAGAAATTTCCTAAGGGCAGTGTTATGTAAGGTTGTTGTTGATCATAGATGTGCTACTTGTCACTATATAAAAATTTATAAACTTAATTTTTTAGTAAGCTTTAAATATTGAATTTACTGTAACAAATCGTTGTGTTAATTGAAAGCCTAATTCCTTTGAATGTTTTTACCAAATGGCATTGTCTTTTTCAACTACAGTGTCTTTGTTAAGGTTATCTACCTGGATTAACTGTTGAAATGAGTAATTTAATCCTAAAATTTCTGGAGCAATTAGATGGAATGTTTGGTATGACCGTCAACGAATGCACTTTTAGAGTGTAGAAATAATTGGAACACAACATTGCACTTTAGGTATTCCGATAGTTGTTTTGGTTATGAATGTTTACTGAATAGTACGATGAAATTTAATTGTCCCACTAATTGATGTATTATGCATCGGATTTGTTATATATTGTAGGTATACAAGAAGATTTAAATAGTCGTATAAATAGTACGGTAGTGCACTATTTAGATATAGTTTGAAAGTACTATTAATTTGTTCGTCACTTTATCGTACAAAAATAATTTTTTGCGGTTTTAATAAAGATACTGTAACTTTTGGATGTTTTAATGTATTTGTCATCAAATAAAAGGCATATAATTTAGAGTTTGACATTTTACCCTTAGGAATTGTTTGGGTCGTTTGTGGGTCGAGTACAGATTCAAACTTTCGATTTAAATTAATTACATTAGCACGAAACATGTGCGTGCACAAAGTCAGCGTCATTGTTGTAAGAAAGTGTATTTTAGTACGGTAAACAAGTTAGAAAACTAATTAAGAACTGGTTCAGCGACATACTGTAGCATTGCGAAAGTTGTACGATTCCTTTTAATTGTTTATTTACATCTTCAGGTAAGCTACAATCTTAGGCGTAAACACATAGGTACATAGACAAAATTACACACTGTAAACATGAAAGTATAAAAAACAAAAAGTCATAAACAGCCAGAAGATATGCCACAGTGATATGCTAGATATAAAATGAGATCGGCATAATCTCAAGACGTGTACTTTCTGAAATGTATGGGTTGCGTAGGTATTAGTGATGTATGTATTCTGGATGACATTTGGTATCTGCATTTATTTTAATCTATTATACCCTAGATCGGTATATATATACATTTGTGACGTTGTTTGTATACGGAAGAGACGATATATGTTCCTGATTATTAACACACGTTTAATACGAACGCTGTGTATATCTCGAACTGGATTACACAAAATATAAGCAACCACATCTGACTACGTATTAATATACGACAGATACCTATGTAGCTGTATTAATATATGCTACGACTTTATTATCAAATCGGCAAAGGGTTAGTGTTAGAATTTTTTTTATTTTTTCCTACCCCCCCTTTCTTCTACAAATTAACCCATGAACTTTCCAACAAAATTAAGTTACCAAATTTTTAAAATATGTTTTTAGTTTTTTACAGAGTATAAAGTTTACCATTGAAGCTTAAGACTTAAAGCCGGAAACAATTTTTAAACAAAAGTAATTCCACAGTAAGTCGATAAATAAGCAGATAAACTACAGCTTTATAAACTTAATCTAGTTTTTTATAGTAGCCACCTTATTTCTTGGATTGTGAGTAAACACCTTAATAACACTAAAATACGATAATAAGTGTTGTGAATTTGGACCAAGGCTTAAGTTTTATGCTTGGCATTCAGGCCAAACTATATCACAAAGTAAACCATCGCATCATATATATATAGTACAAAAAACATAATGACGTATAAGTAAGCGTTTTAATGTAACATGGTCAAGTGTCTACCTCTATATGTTCAACGTATGAATAATATATGTAACACTTGTGCTCAAATAAGTTGTATTAGTTAATTTAGTTATTGTGTTTGTGAATTATGCTCTTGCTCACTTTTATTATTAAATGCCAAGTTTGATGAAAGACCTTCAAAGTTGCAATTTCTTTAAGACATATGACTAACAAGTTGGAAAACATACATATCATACTACATGTTATAAAGAAAATACAAAAATAAAGTTTAAAATTTTTAAAAATATAACTAAGACATAAAGTAGCTACAAAAAGTATATTATTGTAGTTTGTACCACAGTATAGATACATGTCACTTTACATATCTTATAAATGCCTAAAAACTAAAAAAATTGTCACAGATCTGGTACTTGCATTATCCAATACTATTACAACCTTGTGCTTGTTTCAGGTAACATGAGTTAAAGTTTCAGGTAACATGAGTTAAAGCAGTACAAACTACACTACCTGTGTCAACATAAACTTTAATTTCTATTTTGTGGGCAACTATTTGAAGCTGAATTTCAATATTTATAAACAAATCTTAAGCGATGTGATAAAGTCAAGAAATCATGTAAAACGATTTTTATTAAATTATCAAAGCTATTAAAAATATATAAAAGCTTAAAAAATGCTATAACAAATAAACACCTAACAAAAATCTAAAAAATAGATCAGTAAAACCATGTTTTAGCTAATATACTAATGGCAAGCAATGATATCTTCCCCAAAATATAACACAATCCTATTAGACATCAAAACAAGCACAAGACATACGGTGCTGATGCGTAATGTATTTGTCGCCATACGGTCAACAAGTTCCGTTGGTTCCTGATACGCACTGGCTACAATACTCTTGCAGCACCTAATGAGTACGTGACTAAAAACACGCTCGTACTGTAGCTTTTGGCTGCTCAGATTTTAGACAAAGCCTGTACAAAGTGATTAAAAGTTTTGTTGAGTTAAGATATTGTGTTATAGAAGGGTAAAAACCAATGGAAACGCTTAAAAAATAGAAAAAATAACGTTAAAAACGACAATGTAAAGTTATTCTAACTTCCGGTCTTTTTTTTACAGTACTAGTACTATTTCCCAGAAAAGTAAAAAACGAAAAATGAGAGGTTACAAACATAACAAAAAATGCACTTTTATTTTGTTTAACTATTGCCTATCATTACTGTTACAAAAAGCTGGGTAATATAAGAGTAGGTGATTACCATGGTCGGAACATAATTATACCATTCGAAATAATTTAAACTTTATTCGATGAAAAACATAAAATAGGTAGAAAAACCGGAATAACCTATGAGACTTGGCAGTTCGCCTCAAAATGGCATGAAATTGGTGCCCTAACCTTACTATGTAATTATGCGCATCGATTGACATATTATACATATCGTTCAGTATACAAAGCTACTTTATATCTTTGCTCAACCACAGTATACTTATAGTTTAACCCATTATACTTACTTTACAGTTGATACTTAACAAACATAGAAAAAGGATTCCAGAAGTCGGAAGGCTAATCCAGACCTTCTGGATCCCCAATTATGCACTTAATAAAGTCGTAAAACCAAATTGAGGATAATAGTTTTAACTGTTGATATTTGTGGCAATTACGGTCGATTACCGCTAAAAGTGGCCGACTACGG